ATCTATCTATCTATCTATCTATCTATCTATCTATCTATCTATCTATCATCCTTTCCTCTCTAACATCAGGAACATTAACCAAGAGGACATGTAGGAAACCACACCATTACAAACTGTACCAAATGGCCTTCCACTTAGTTTTTTTTTCAACTGTCATTTAATAATTTGAAAATGCTACTAATCAAACCAACAGGATTTTTCAATTAGGTGGAATGTGAGTTCTCTCCAGTACAGAAAGCCTTTCATAGGGCGAAGGCATACACAAAATTAGCAAAATGTTCCAAAATCACTAGAACCATAATTTTTTCTGGTGAACTGCCAAGAATAAAGTAGTGTAGAAAGAAATAAAGTATAATTTCTCTCTCTTACCCACCTGTGTTTGGTTCATCACCTATGAAGGCTGCTTGGTTAATGATTTGGCCATGAGGATCTACACTGTGAAATTCCCAAGTGTGAAGTTTTCTCTGTCACAGGGAAACTTCCACTGATGCATAGACTGGCTATGGGCACATTGACAGACATGGCTATGTGAGAACATCAAATGCCAATGACATGGGGCTATAAAGGTAAAGGTTCCCCCGTCCATTCGTATCTGACTCTAGGGGGCAATGTTTATCTCCATTTCTTAACCAAGGGAGCCAGCATTGTCCAAAGATGTTTCCATGGTCATGTGGCCAGGATGACTATATGCTGAGGCTCACAGAACGCTGTTACCTTCCCCATTGAAGTGGTACCTACCTATCTACTCGCATTTGCATACTTTTGTCCTGCTAGGTGGGCAAGAGCTGGGGCAAATAACAGGAGCTCAGCCATCATGCTGCACTCAGGTCTTGAACTCAGCTGGCTTTCCAGCTGACAAGCTCAGTGTTTTTAGCCTGAGTCATTGCAGTGGGAGCTATTCCCACTGTCTATTTGTTTCCAGGCCTAATTCAAAGTGCTAGGGCTTCCTTTGGTTTAATGTCTCAAATGCATGAACCTGACTTTTATAGATTTGTGAAAGAGGGGCTTCTTAAAATTTCTTCTACTCATTATGAGCCACACCAAAAAACAAACAAACCCTTTACTGTGGAATAGCTTTTCCAGAGTGATTAAGCAGGCACGAACCTTAAAGTATTGTTTCCCAAATTTTTTCAAGTTAGTCAGTCTCTCCTATTGTACTTTTATTCCTTTTTGAATCTGTTAATTTAGACAGACTACTGTCATATTTTACAGACAAGTTATTTCAGGGAGAAAGGACAATGCCTTCCTTTCAGATAAATGCATAAATATTATAATAAATATTGAATACAAAGATAAAAGAAAACAAGATAGGCTAAAAAAAACTTGGAAAATGACCTACCTTAAAAGGTTTGTCCCCACTATGGGTCAACATATGCCGCTGTAACCAACTCTGACTTGTTGATGGTGTGTTATACACTTTGCAGCCTTTCCATAAGCAAACAAATACCTAGTAAGAAAAAACACAAATTAGGCGGAAGCTCCTGTTACACATATTTTTAACATTCAATATATTATTTTAACTCAATAAATTACCTGAAAATACACTGCTCAAAAAAATAAAGGGAACACTTAAACAACACAATGTAACTCCAAGTCAATCACACTTCTGTGAAATCAAACTGTCCACTTAGGTAGCAACACTGATTGACAATCAATTTCACATGCTGTTGTGCACATGGAACAGACAACAGGTGGAAAGCATAGGCAGTTAGCAAGACATCCCCAATAAAGGAGTGGTTCTGCAGGTGGTGACCACAGACCACGTCTCAGTTCCTATGCTTTCTGGCTGATGGTTTGGTCACTTTTGAATGCTGGCGGTGCTTTCACTCTAGTGGTGGCATGAGACGGAGTCTACAACCCACACAAGTGGCTCAGGTAGTGCAGCTCATCCAGGATGGCACATCAATGCGAGCTGTGGCAAGAAGGTTTGCTGTGTCTGTCAGTGTAGTGTCCAGAGCATGGAGGCCCTATCAGGAGACAGCCCAGTACATCAGGAGACATGGAGGAGGCCGTAGGAGGGCAACAACCCAGCATCAGGGCCATTACCTCTGCCTTTGTGCAAGGAGGGACAGGAGGAACACTGCCAGAGCCCTGCAAAATGACCTCCAACGGGCCACAAATGTGCATGTGGCTGCTCAAACGGTCAGAAACAGACTCCATGAGGGTGGTATGAGGGCCTGACATCCACAGGTGGGGGTTGTGCTTACAGCCCAACACCGTGCAGGACGTTTGGCATTTGCCACAGAACACCAAGATTGGCAAATTGGCCACTGGCGCCCTGTGCTCTTCACAGATGAAAGCAGGTTCACACTGAGCACGTGATAGACGTGACAGGGTCTGGAGACGCCGTGGAGAACGTTCTGCTGCCTGCAACATCCTCCAGCATGACCAGTTTGGCAGTGGGTCAGTAATGGTGTGGGGTGGCATTTCTTTAGGGGGCTGCACAGCCCTCCATGTGCTCACCAGAGGTAGCCTGACTGCCATTAGGTACCGAGATGAGATCCTCAGACCCCTTGTGAGACCATATGCTGGTGCGGTTGGCCCTGGGTTTCTCCTAATGCAAGACAACGCTAGACCTCATGTGGCTTGAGTGTGTCAGCAGTTCCTGCAAGACGAAGGCATTGATGCTATGGACTGGCCCACCCGTTCCCCAGACCTGAATCCAATTGAGCACATCTGGGACATCATGTCTCGCTCCATCCACCAACGCCACGTTGCACCACAGACTGTCCAGGAGTTGGGGGATGCTTTAGTCCAGGTGTGGGAGGAGATCCCTCAGGAGACCATCTGCCACCTCATCAGGAGCATGCCCAGGTGTTGTAGGGAGGTCATACAGGCACGTGGAAGCCACACACACTACTGAGCCTCATTTTGACTTGTTTTAAGGACATTACATCAAAGTTGGATCAGCCTGTAGTGTTTTTTTCCACTTTAATTTTGAGTGTAACTCCAAATCCAGACCTCCATGTGTTGCTAAATTTGATTTCCATTGATAATTTTTGTGTGAGTTTGTTGTCAGCACATTCAACTATGTAATGAACAAAGTATTTAATAAGAATATTTCATTCATTCAGATCTAGGATGTCTTATTTTTGTGTTTTTATTTTTTTGAGCAGTGTACATATTTCTGTAAAGAACTTTTGCTTTTAGCACATTTAATGCACCTCCTGACTGGTTCTTACTACTGGTAGCAATGTCTTAGCATGTTAAGAGAAGTTGTCTAGTTTTCTTTTAAACAGAATCAACTGTTCAAAAAAATGAGAAATGAAAAGGTGTTTCTAAATTCAAAGAGAACAGTAATTGCCAAGAATCATCACACAATGAATATACAGCTGAAATAGCTAACTTAGTTCTGTGAAGTTACCAATCTAAGAGGACCACTTGAAACGTGAAATTCAGAAAGGATGGATTGAGTCATGACTATTTAAGAACCTAACCAAAATACTTATCTCTGTCTTTAGAAAATTGTGCCAATACCCCCAGATTTGCTGCCTGTTTGAGAAGTTACTTGGGCATTGTCCAAATGGTTATTTGACTTGGCATTTCATGTAGCCTAGATACTTGGAAGAATTTAGGGACTTTTGGAGTTTTTTCTCTAGTGTTGGCCTCCTTAATCTATCACAGATACCATGGGAAACTTGTCCTAATAGCTGTCCAGCTATAGGTGGCTGCTATGAGTTGGTCATTATAAGTGCCTCTTTTGTCACTTTTTCAACTCCACATATTTCAGAATGTAGGAAATAGATTGCCTTGTGGCTGATAAGAGACCAAAATCCTAGACAATTTGTGGAAATGTATGGAAGGAGCAAATTAAATTTCACTTTAAAAAATATCCATTTAAAATATACTTCAATCATGACTTTTTGCCTTAACTTTATCAGTATCTCAAATAATGAGATAATTTAAATTAACCGCGGACATCCTCAGTGGCCTCAAATGCTGACTTCTCACTTTCAGTTGGTTTTGAGAGGGTAACACGGATTTCTTTCCTATATTGTAATGAAAAGAGAGGCCCACCTCTTGCCCAAGTCCTAAAAGGATACTTGGAAAGATGGAGACAGATAGGTCGAATAAAAGTCTGGTTAGTAAGTCAGATGAACCTTGTGGACTCTTATGACAACAATGCAAATTGTTCTGTTGTTATTAATAAAATATCTCTTTAAAATAACCCACAAGGAATTTGCCAAACAACACAAGGGCAAATGTGTTTAATTAATGGATCAGATCAGTGGTGGGATTCAAGTATTGTTGCCACCGGCGTGGCTTGGTGGGCGCACTGTGTGTGCACGTGCGTGCCAAACATGCACTTTGCACAGACGCAGAGCATTCTAACTCGCCTCCTGCAAGCCTGCATGATCCTGGTCACTTCAGCAGCTGCCGCGAGGCACTCTTCTGTGCCGCGCAAAGCAGCTGCCCTTAAAATTCAGCGGATAAAGGTGAGTATGGGAGCCCAGGTGGGCGGGTGGGCCCAACAGCAGAGCCAGCAGAGAGAACTGGTTCGGTCTCCGCTGCTCATTACTGCTACCGGCTCGTAAGAATCGGGCCAAACCGGTAGAATATCACCACTGGATCAGATATATATCTGATGCAATATGACTACTTCGGTAAAGCATACAATTCCTCTCCACATATTACATATATAATACATGAGTTAACAATCACTAAAAAAAAACACCCTTTTGCAGTAGTGCAGTATGAGCAAAAATATTTTTTCATTGGTAAAACCAATGAATTCTACATTGCAGTTCAACTTACATGTTAGAATCCAATTTATGCCCATGTTATAATGGTGTAATTATAACAGATAATCCTTGATTTACACCCTTCAAAGAAGCCCAAAATTTCTGTTGCTAAGCAAGACAGTTGTTGAGCTGTGCCCCATTTTATGACCCTATTTCCACAGTTGTTAAGAGAATCACTGCAGTTGTTAAGTGAATCTGGCTTCCTCTATTGATTTTGCTGGTCGGAAGCTGGCTGGGAAGGTTACAAAAGGCAACCACACAACCCCAAGACACTGCAATTGTCATAAACATATGCCAGTTGCCAAGCACCTGAATTTTGATCTTTTCAGAAACAGCTTGTTCATATTATTATGAAAAAAGCAGAAAGTTGTGATTTGATGTTAATGCCTTATTTTACTGCAAGAGTGTCAAAAGTCAATGTTTCTTTTCCTGTACTTCCTCACTTCTGTTCCCTTTTCCTCCCCATTGCTTTTCTATTTACTTTTCTATTTTACAATATTTTATAATATTGTATAAATAATATTTTATAAATAAAATGTTAAAACAGTAAACAGTCACTAAGTGAATGGTGAACAAGTCAAGGACTACCTCTATATGCAGCTAATGAAACTGTAATGGTTCCATTAATTAGGTGAACTGTATCATCCAGGTAAGAGCAGCGGTGAAGGGAATTGTGATGTTATCCCTGCTTCTGGTCAGGGGATCAAATACAAACTAATAAGGGAACAAGCAGCTCAGCCCCATTCACCAGCCATGATGATCTTGATTCCACCTTCTTTCAGAAACCACAATCTGGCTCTTGCGCTAAGGATTATTATTTTACAAGGACACCATAACGTGATTACTTCAAAAATTGGTTCCTACATGGGGTTTATTAGTATACTTTTATTTACTTATAGATTTGCAACCTGCCTCAGCCGAAGTGACTCAAAGAAGTATAGAAAAGCAATAACTGCAGCCTGCGCAATAAACCAAGAAATAAAACACACCATTACAGTTTAAAACATTAAAATAATACTCCTCTGGCACTGGGAACTGTATCAAATCCTCCAAAACCTTCCACGACAGCCAAGCTTTTAAGAACTTCCAGAAGGTCATGGAAGCAGTAGCAATCAAGTCCAAAAGAGGCCCCACAAGGAAGGCCCACTTCACCTTCTCTTTTGAGCTTTTTTATTCCCTACATTGGGAACTCCAATAAGTCTTTGGTAAATAATGCCCTGAAGGATAGAATGTTATTTGTAATTTGAAAATCTGTATGACCATCCTTTCAACACGCGACTCTTGGGTTAAGGAAAAAAAAAACACCATAAAAAGACAACAGAAATTAAAACATATCATGCTGGAGGCAAATCACATTTAGAACGTTAAAAATGGGTCACAGAATGTCCTTACGCTTGAACTTCAAGGATCTTCAAGGCTTTCTAAAGGCTGGCAGGATTAGGACCTTATGATTTGAGGAGGGGATATCATGCCATTGGGCAGGTGTAGTAGCAAAAATGGAATATTGTTGTGGCTCGCCGGCAGGAGGTGCAGACGGCAGAGGTCTCTGACAGCAAGGACGAAAGGAAACCAGTCAGGGAGGCTGGCGAGGACTTGGACGAGGGTCCTGCGTCTGACGCAGGGATGGGCCAGGACTATTGGAGGGTGGGGTGCTGCCTTTGGAGCTTTTGGAGTCTGGCAGCAGTGAAGCAGAGGACCCCAGGGAGCCTGTGCCCAGTGTGCGCAGGGCTGCTCGAAGGAGAGAGCAGCTGAAGTAGCAAGGGCAACTCGGGAGTAAGGCTGGAAGGCGATTGCCCTGCCCATATGGGATAAAAACCAGCCCTCGGGGATGTGTTCTTTGCAGGAAGCAAAGAAGTTCTTTAGACTTTGAGTCCGCGTTGAAGCCCTGCGAACTCCGGTTTTGTTTTGAAACTTCTGTTGGTTGTTATTTATCTGTAATTAGACTTCTGTTCTTGGCAGCCTTTTACAATCTTGAAAGGACTTGCTTTTATCTCGGACAATTGGGTTTAAATGACTTGGCTGGGAATGCAAAGATTTCCCAGCGCCGCATGAAAAAAGGTTTGCTTTTATACACAGTTTGTGTTTGTTTAATTGGAATAAGGCTTGGGTCAGAACAAATGTAGAGGGAGTACGCAAAATGACCTGGATGGAATTATGCAGGTGCTGTTGGCTAGGCTAAAGGACTGAAACATTTTTAAAGTCCAGAAGATCCAGATACCATTCAGAAGTAGCTCAGACAGACACTCCACTAAATTCAATGAACTGTAAGAAGGAAGAGGAGGTATAGCACAATCAGTCTTACAAGGTTCTCCTATTATAGCTAATTTCAATAAAAATAATTTTCTTTCCTTCCTAAGTAGTTAAATTTCTTGGTTTGATCTTCCAAGTGGAGAGCCACTTTTACAACCCTGTTTAACTGATGGGACCCAGAACATGCAATCTGGTCACTGCCAACACATTCTGAGTCAACTCTACAGTAATTGAATCTGAGTTTTAAACTATTGTTTCATTTAAGTCAACTATACGAGTCTGTTTCAATTTCTACCCTTCAGTGAAATCCAATTTAGGCCAACAAAGTCTCTTTTGGAGACAGTGTGGGGCAGTTAAAAGTGGGCAACAACTCCATTTGAAACATCCCCAAAGGCAGCATCTTTATGCCTTTAAAAACAACGATTAGAAAGGGTACACATGAGATTATTTGCTAAGTCGAACAAGGACAAAGAAGGAATGGCAGAAAAGGCACATTCCCACCGCTTGCTCCTAGAAGAAGTACTTGGCATGGCCGCATGGTTTTGCCTGTAATATGCCAAAACTGAAAAATTGTTTAATTTGCTTTGGAATGAACAGTATTGCTAAGTAGCTGTTGCTCCAACTGAAGTACAACATACCAAAGCAGCTCCTCATAAATTACAGTGTGATTTGTTCCCCCGCTTGACAAGTTGAAGGCCATCTTAGAGCCTAGTCATGATTCTGTGTTGAAAGAATCAGATGCTCAAATATATAATGTGCATTTCCTATGAAAAATTTATTGCAACTAATTAGAAGGAAAATATATCAGGTTGTCAATTCTACCCTAACTTATGGAAAACACACAATAAGAAGACTAGCAATTTAAATCTGAATTGTATCAAATGAAGCCACTGATAGGCGTGTATTACATCTTTTTCGAATTTCGCTTGATTTGGGTAACCAAGTAATTCAAAAGAAAGTGCAAAATTTGGACCTAGACGAAGTTTGATGTAACACACCCTTCAGTTAAATTATTTACTGTCACAACTAGCACTATATTGCATAAGACCTCAAAAATGTGAAACATGGTTTTCTTTCACTGACTTAAGGATAGGATCTAGAAAACCATCAGACAATTAGACCATCTTCTTCACAATTCATTCCTTCTTCCCCAACTTTCCAACTCCTCCAAACCAATTTCATTACTTCAAAAACAAGGAATATGGATAGTCCTTGACTTACGACCACAATTGAGCCCAAAATTTCTGTTGCTCGGTGAGATAGTTGTTAACTGAGTTTTGCCCTATTTTGCCATCTTTCTCGCCACCGTTAATTGAATCATTGCAATTGTTAATAACAAGGTTGTTAAGTGAATCTGGCTTCTCCATTGACTTGGCTTGTCGGAAGTTTGCAAAAGGGGATCACATGAGCCCAGGGACACTGTGACCATCACAAACCCCAGTTGCCAAGCTTCTGAATTTTGATCATGTGACTATGGGGATGCTGCAAGAGTCGTAAGTGCGAAAACAGTCATAATTCACTTTTTTCAGTGACACTATAACTTTGAATGACCACTAAATGGTTGTAAGTCAAGGACTAGCTGTATTTCTCTTAAGAGAATCTGTGCTCTTCCAATTTCTGAGTCTTCCATATAAATGCAGACTTTAAAACTTCCATTATCTGCAAACGAAAATCTCTCGTCTTCAAAATCCCACTTATTCTTGCTTTCCCTTATATTGTCTTGGGACAGACGAAGCATTCAAAGGCAATCACAAAGCATGTTGGATCAAAGGGCCTATCCTTAAAAGTCCCCCAGAAGGCTCAGTGAAGTCTTTCTCCACCTTTGAATGTGCAGAGCCACTTTAGAGGTGATTCTGAAATCCCAACTAAGTGTTTCCTGTATACATACAGATGGGAACAAGTGGAGAATTGGATGCCGTTATATGCAGTCTTCCAACCAAAGGTGCTTTAGATTCTCAAGGAAGGATTCCTTCTGATGCTGACATGTTTTGTGCCATCACTCCTTTTGAATGCAATGCAAAGCCCTAACATCCACTTTCACAGGCAGATCATTCCTATCTCTAATCTTTATTCATCCTATTTTACCACTAAAAATCTATCTGACAGCTCCTGCTTCTCTATTTGGAAACGTGCACTGAATGATTGTTTTGGCTTTGCTTTTATATGGCATTATCTCAAAGTCTATTTTTTTCTATCACACTTTTAGAACTATCATGTATTTCCCAATATTCTACTAAATTAAGAACTGTATCTGCCTCCGTATTCTCACCTGTTCCACCTGTGGTTGTTCACCTTTTCTTCAGCTCACTTTTGTCTATGATAGTAAACATCTGGAATACAATGCATTCCTTCGTACACGGGGTATCATTGTCCCATCATTCAGTATTCCTTATAATTTGTATTTCAAGTCTATTTTAGTTCCCACTCTTGAAATAACTTGATTGTAACAGTTTTAAGCTTTTTTGATTGGTTTTAAAAGGACACATTACAACACCGTACTTTTTTCCATGAAACATGTTTGGTTTTTGGTTTAACACACAGATGTTAGAATAGACAATTTAAAAAAAAAAACACCAACCCCTCCTCGCTGACCATCTACATGTATGGACCGAATGTGATCTGCCAGATCCGGACTGGAGTTGAAGCAAGAGTGGCACTGGTCCCAGCAGCAGTTATAAGCAATACTTTTTGCAGATGAAGTCGTCACTCCCTGTCCATTCATCATGACTGGAGTTGAACGTCCACTGGAAATTGTACTGTCTACATCCATTATGGTACTGCTTATGCTGCAAGAAGAGGGAAAAATAATTAATATATTTTCAATAGAGGGACAATTTTGCCAAGTACATGGTTAAATACATTTATATCTTGTCCAACCAGTGTGTTAGAGCATTCAAAGCCACCAGGCTAAAAATCAGAAGACCATAAATTCTAGTCCTGCTTTAGGCATGATGTCAGTTGGATTACTTGAGTCAACTGCTCTTTCTGAGTCCTAGGAAGAAGGAATTGGCAAATCACTTCCCAAAAAAAGTTGCCAAGAAAATTACATGGATCTCCAATGCACTTCTCCAAAAAGAGGCACAGAATTTTAACATTACTGATAAACTTTACAAAATAAATATTTATGAATCAATTATACTGGTGTTATGTTTAAAGGAAGCAGCAACTTTCTCATGGGGACTTTAACTGGTCTGGAAGATATTTAAAATCTTAGGTGCCAATGAAACTGAACAATTCCTAAAGTAAGTAGAAAAGATAATATTACTATGCTTCATTCATTCCTATTCAATCTATGTTAGTGTTTATACAAGTAGTGTTTAATTTACCTTTAAAATCTACATTTTTACCTCATAATGACCAATTTTTCTCAGTAGCCTTTTACAATCCACAAGAAGATTGCAGATGTGCATGTGGGGAAACCTTATCAAGTTTCTAACATGAACATTTTATAGCTGGCTTGATCCCGCAAGTTAATCACAAGTTAATCACAAGTTAAGCTCCAAAGACCTAAATCAGGACTCTTCAAACTTGACAGCTTTAAGACTTGTGGTCTTCAACTCCCAGAATTCCTCCTCCAGTCATGTTTAGCTCAGTTGAATTCCATAAGAGTTGAATTCCATAAGAGTTGAATTCCATAAGTCTTAAACTTGCCAAGTTTGAAGACCCTTGACCTAAAGACAGAATAAAAGTAACAAACAAAACAGATGCCTTCCAGCCCTCTGTAGCAAAAAGTCTTACAGCAGCAAAAAGCCAATGAAGCTATTCAATACCCTCCAAACACATGTAAACTTGAGGAAGCAATAGAAGTGCTTCTGAATTAAAATGCTTCCAGTATTGGGCACACTTAGGGGAGTGATAGACACTCAGTGATGTTGAGAGAGTGAGGCTTTCTCTATCTTGACTTAAATTATTAAAATATACCAATGTTCAAAGTTGAAGCCTCATTCAACTAAAACAAGGATTCAAGAAAAATAAGAGATGTTGTAGGTGTCCCAATGGACTTCCTTTCTTTGATGGAATAAGCTGTCTTCTTCAACAGAAGTTGAGGTATACATTTTTACTCTTTATTTTAAACTGGATACCAATAGCAATAATGCTTATTGCTTCATAGTGCTCTGCAGTCCTCTCTAAGCGGTTTACATAGTCAGCATATTACCCCACCAATCTAGGTCATTTTATCAACCTCGGAAGAATGAGTCAACCTTGAGCTGTTCAGAATCAAATTGCTGACAGTCGGCAGAATTTGCCTGCAATACTGCATTCTAACCACTGTACCACCATGGCTCTAGGTTGCACTGTTGGTCTTCTACTGGATTTAATGATGTTAAATACAGTACTGTCTATTTAATTTGCAATGCCCAATTTTAAATGCCTTTATAAAAACATATTTTTATGATCTTGCTATTTTGGAAAAGAAATCATGAATTCTTGAAATATATGCATTAACTTTTTAGTAAAACTGCAAGTGAAATAGAAAGTTGTTCTATTAATTATAACTTCTAACTGTCTCAGTTTTATCAGAATGAGATTTATTGTATTTTTTTGTAAAAAAAAAAACATTTTTTTCTTTAACATCTCTTAAGCCCTTCCTTCAAGCCAAACCGTTACGATCTTCAAATGTTTCTTTACGAAACTTCAAAGACCAGAGAAATCACATTCAATTTCAACAATGTCAAGGTTTCTTTTGAGTTTAGCTTGATTGCTTATGGCTTCATGGAAATATCTGGGTCGTGTTCTTGGCAACAATTTAAAGTATTTCGCCACTGCCTCCTTCTCATGCATCTCATAAACATATATGCATGCGTGTCTATTGGGGTATGTGGGGTTGGGATTTCCAGTCTAGGCAATGGCCCTGGTGCATTTCCTGGAGGTCTCACATCAAAGTACTAACCAGGGCCCAATCCTGTTATTACTTAATGGGACTTTCCAATTTACCATCTTAGAAATTATTCCTGGAATTTGTGCAGCACTTCTGAAGAATACTAGCCTCAGCCAACATTTTAGTAATCACTTAAGGTAAGGCTTATTATAAGCAGGAACCTAGATTCTCATCATTCAACAAAAAGTCCTGGGTGACCTTGGAATGACTGTCAAGGATTTCTAATTCTTAACAATACTAATTATAATATCCACACAAAAATTAAAACCAGCAACCTAATCAAGGCAATATAAACATTCCTATGTTCTCTCAACTAGTTGGGGGAGGGGGAGAAATCCTTCGGAAGAGCTCGGTCAGGATTGTCTGCCTAAGAACTAATCCATCTGCTAACGAACATTCTTGCTTGCCAGATTAATCTTTGTGAATTCACCCTCCCTCCCCCAAAAGCTCTCCTAAGGCCTGGGATGTACAAGCACGTCAAGGTCAAAACTAATTTCTGCATTCCCACTTCAGAACAAAAGTTGGCTGTCTGAGTGGCAGCACCTCAAGTTTTCCGGTCAAAGAAAGCAACCTGAAATGTGCCATTTTTCTCCTGGAACAGGCCTTTTCAAGTGTTCTCGGCTTGGAAAAAAAAATGTGCATGTTCCAAGAGATTTGTTTTGAAGCTGGAAACCCTCCGAGGTACTTCAGGCTTTGTTCCAACAGAACACAGCCATCTTGATTATCGCACGCATTGTTTTGTTCAATTTGTTGTGAATTCAGAATTAGTCCTCCTTATATGTATTCACCTATTATTTTTTTTAGCAAAGGACAAAACTTTCTGTAAAAACAAATTTAATTGATTCATATCAAGAAAGCTGTGTTTGAACTTTATCCAATATTCAGTTTACAACAAATGGCTAAAAAAATGAAAAGTTCTAAAAGCATTGTGTAATTATTAATAGTATCTTTCTCACCTTATAAAATATCTTATAAGCTAGTATGTGCCTATTTCCATTTAAACATGCATGTGCTCATATTCCCACTGTCCATTGTCTTCCTTGATCCCCATTTCCCTTTTTCCCTCATGTGTGTTTATCTAAAACTGGAAACTTTCAGGGAGTTTCCAAATTTTAGGTTTGTATTTTTGTATTGTGCCGTGTTTGCTTTAAATGCTTGAAATAAGACTATTGCAACTCTTTTACATTAAAAGACAACACAATAAATATACTTTGCTCCAGATATGCTTTTCTGTCCTCCTAGGAAGTCACTTTCATCATTACTGCTCAAAATCTTTTAGCAAATTTAATGAACAGTCCAGAAATCCACATCAGTAAAAACTTCACAGCAAATTAGGCAGAAGATACAGAAAATAATTTTGGCAGCCAATGGCTAAGACTGGTTAGACAACATAGAGAGGATTTAAACAATTTATAAATGTGCCCTAAAGAGTAAGATGAAGGCTACTGTCCTTCAGGAACAATTTAGCCCCCAAAGATTAGCAATTACATTAATGGTTATGGAATTCAGTATACTATACCTACAATGCAACCAATAGAAACATATTTCAGAGATGCAAACCTTACACTAACCTGGCTCTGAAGCAACAACACAGCATGCAAGCCAGTTTTCCCCAATTCACAACTCAGCCCTTATGCTGCTAGTTCTAGAGCAGGGCTCCCCAAACTTGGCAACTTTAGAACTTGTGGACTTCAACTCGCAGAATTCCTCAGCCACAAGTCTTTTAAAGTTGCCAGATTTGTAGACCCCTGTTTTAGAGAACCAGTATTAGGAATCATAAAATAAGTGTCTCTTTCGGCAGATGTACCTGGGTTTTTATTGCTGCATGACAAACAGGTTTTTAATTTTGAAAAGTAAACATGAAATTATAAAATGTTTTTAAAGATCTCCTCTTAACTCTTGCTCCATTAATTCTAACATGGAAGCTTAAAAAATTGATTTGTAAGCCACTAGAAAGCAATAAATCCAAGATCTTTATATGTACACATAATTCATCATGCTGGAAGTTTTTCATAAGCTGTCAAAATAGGAACAAGTCTGTTAACTTGTCAAAAAAATAAAATTCCTATAGACAAATTTATTTTCCAGAAATCTAGGAAAAATGAAAGTTTTTTGGAATAATTTATATTCCTGCCTTTAGTAATCAAGATTGCTAACACCTTAAAAAACAACCCAAATAACCAAATAATAAATTGCCACCCTGAACATGAAAAAAATCATATAACCTGAGTAATAAACGATATTTTTCTTTAAAAATGCAAAGTAGAGCACCTCTATCAAATCTCATAATACAGATGGTAGACCTTAGGACACAAGCCATTTAGTAATAGTAGCTATAAATTATATCCAACATTTTAACTATGATGGGAAATATGCAGATGTTTTGAAATGAACATATGTTAATATAATCCAGCTGCCTATGAAAACTCTAGCTGCTGTACGTTATTAGATATCTAACCTGTAAAAATCATCAAACTCTCAGTTATACACATAAAACATGAAATATTCATGGTGAAGTAAGAAACATCTATCATATGAACAAATTTGAATCAGAAGAATTAGTGTTCTGTAGTAAATTTTTAAAAAATCACCATTACATCAATTATTGTATCTTGTTTCTGTCAGAGCAAGCACAATTTGCAAGAGAAGACTGCACCATGGGAGCTATGATAAAAACACATCTCTTTCTGGCCCTAGTCTTCTTGACTTTATGAAAATGCTATATCACAAGTGATTATTTTTTTCTTCGGATATTAATATTGGATGGTTAGTTCCAGATTAAAGAGAAAGTCCTAAAAGTACCTAGGCACCAAGACATCTTTATAGATTAATAAAAACAGTACTTTAACTATAACCAGAATTGCACCCAACCGGCAACAAATACAAGACCATACCACATTTTGCCGG